CGAAAGATAAGAAAGCGGTCATCTTTTGGAACTTGATTTAGCACATATATACGATTACCGAAAAGTGGCAAAATCAGACGGGCTATCAGTGTGGGCATCTCGTTTTAGTGATGTTACTGAATTACAGCTTTCTCACGTCAAATGCAACTGTGCCAGGTTCTTCGATTCTGAAATATACCTTAATAAGATTGTTTGAAAATTATATATCCCAATGGATCAGGCAAGTTTGCAGTTTGTGTTTCATCCCTTAGCTGTAAACATAGGCAGAGAGCATCGGATGCGAGTAGCAGTGGGAATCGTCAGTACAGCCTTCTGTTCACCATGTATGAAAAAGGCAGTTTTAAAAATAAGCAAGACAGTGAGAATAGAAGAGATAGGAAGAGTGTGGAAGAAAGCGAAAGAAATTAATAGCATGAAATGATTGATTCGTTAATCAGTATTAATTGATCAACAGCTCAAACTGGACTGTATTTTGTATCATCCTCTATCTGTGCGTCATCTCGCGAGCGCCATTGCTTCAGTGGGCGATTTGAGCTGCAGCAGCTGCTTCAGTGGCCGTTGCTGGACCATGCAGTTCGTTTGACTTGAAGGCTCGAATGCCAACCAGTCGTGAGGCGATTGTTTTTTTTGAATCGCATGGGCTTCGCTGGGGTTTCTCCTTTTCGCATGGGATGGCGGGTTTGCGAAGTGTTTCGCGTATGCTGGCATCCGAGTGTCTCCGTTTATCGTAAACAATCAATCCGGTGCACTTTTGATTTGTGACTTCAGTAGTGCGGGCAGCAGAAGAGAGAGGTGAAATCGGATGCGGGCAATCATTGAGTTAGATTTGATGGGTGTGTGTGTGGGTGTGTGTGTGTGCGTGTGTGTGTGCGCGTGTGTGTGTGGTGCAATTTGTCGGCTGTTCCCCATTTCACTTTGCTTAAATTATTTTGCAACCCAGTGCGGCTGGTAATCCTCGAGCAGGTATTGCTTTCCTCAAAGCCCAAACCGCTTCCCCTCGAATGTGCCTTTTCTCCCAGAGTGCAGCTAGCGTCGACGTGCAATCTGGCGCACTGCCAAAA